AATACATGAAACTTGTATAACTTAAATAAAATTTAAAAATATTACCAGTCTTACACTCAGCACTTTTAACAACTTCTATTAAGAAAAAAGGGTGTTTAAATAAGCAGCAGAATAAAGAGGCATAGGACTGTTCTACTTCTGTAGGCAATGAATGGATAAGCGAATATGAAAATGCCATCTGACCAGGTATGGCCCACACACACTGAAGAAATGGGGAACTTCAAGAGGAACAAAAATCAGATCATGTTACAGTACACTGAGAGCTTCCTGCAAGCCCGAGTTGCTGCATTTAAAGGCATTCTTATTGGAATATTAAAATAATTCTCTTGAACCCAGAAAAAATAGTTCAAAGGTCAAATATCCTTGATTTTTCAAACATAAAGATGTCCTACAACCTCCCAAGAGAAAAAATTCATATTTGGTTGGAAAGAAAATATAAGTAGCAACTTTCCCTTTCGAAGTGAGTAGACCAACACATGCAGTGTTTGCTGTGAGAAACCGTGCATGGCATGACGGGGTGGACAGGTACAAGTAAGCAGGACAAACCAAGCAGCCTTATTCCCAGGACAGTGTCACTGGAACTCAATGATTGCAGTCACTCCCTGATGGCATTGAACTGAGCACCAAACGCTCTGGTCACGTACAGGCTGTGTGTCTGAGAAAGCAGCAAAGATACGTGCGGAAGACAAAGATGTGGGGTTTGCAGCAGGAATCGAACTGTGCGTCCCCACCCAAGAGGGGAGCACTCCCGATTCTGATGGCCACAGTTCCTCCCTCTGCTCTGCATGTTGCCCAGGAGGCTGCGGACCTTGTATTCCTCCTAACTTTATCTACTGGAAGTAGCTCCAGTGTGTTTCTGTTCATGATAATCAGATAATCCCTGAACAAAACAAATACAATATTGAAATGTTCAAGATTACTAGGAGGGGAGACACAAAATGTTAATAATTTGAAAATAAATAGGTCTGAACCATTTCATTGTAGCCAAAAAATGATGGCAGATGAGTTGAAGAATGTAATATTTTGTTAAATTAAAAATTAAAAACCCTCCCTGGTAATTTGACAAATATAGGTTCAAGCATGTGTATTTTTTAAAAGATAAATTCTAATAGAATTCATAATGGCAAAAAATTCAAGTTACAAAAAAATTTAAATTTCTCATGTAGTAAATATTAGAAAACAAAGGTAATGGTAAAGAAATACCTCAAAGTGTTTACAAATGCTATTATATGGGGATGCTGCAAAGAATTCAAGCATTTGAATTCCGACCATAACTCTCAGTGGATTAAATTTTCTTTTCATCCATTGTGAAACTCTTAGAAGTATAAAAAGAGAAAAGCATGAAAAACTAAAGTAATGGACAAAGATTTTAGACAAATGTGCTAATATATATAGGGATTACAGGAACAAGACAACAGCAACACAAATTAAAAAGCTAAACAAAATCTGTAGAAGGAATTAATATTAATGAGGAAATCAATATAAAAATAAATAGGGTCCAGTATTGTGGTGCAGCAGGGTAAGCCACCACTTACAATGCTGGCATCCAACACTGGGCTGCTGGTTTGAGTGCTGGCTGCTCCGCTTCTGATCCAGTTCCTGTTAACGTTCTTGGGAAGGCAGCATAAGATGGCAGAGGTGCTTCCATACCTGCCACTCACCCAGGAGACCTAGATGGAGTTCCTGGCTCCTAACTTTGACCTGGCTCAGCCCTGAACGTTGTGGCCATCTGGGAAGTGAACTAGTGAACAGAAGATCATTCTCTCTGTCTCTCCCTATGTCATTCTGCCTTTCAAATAAATCTTTTAAAGTAGATAAAATAAGTACTAATGTTTAAGAGTTGTATTCTTTGTATTAATACCACATTAACATGAAAAAAATAAAGAACAGAATCAATATAGTTCAGATACAATACTAATAGGATATTCCCTTCCTACCTACCTCACTTTTTTAGTTTTTGAGATATTTTTCATTTACATGAAAGTCTAGGGTTTAATGCTGTACCACAGAGAGTTTAGCAGGTGCAGGTAAAAAGAGGAACCTTAGTTCAGCAAGAATGTTTGCAAGGGCTACAAGCAATGTTCAGATGGCATAGAAGAAATCTTAGAAATTGAGATGCCATAGAAAAGAAGGAAAACTCCAATAAATTGTATCACACACTAAAATTCACCCAATGTTTTAGAAAGTAGGGAAAAGACATGAAGGGATAGGGAATGGGAACATTAAAATGTAAGGCCTGAAGAACCTTAAGGGGAGTAAGGCTTGAATAGATCAGAGGGATAATAATCCGGATGAGAATCCATGCCTAGCCAAACAACCAACTAAACGTGTGTTACAGACAACACATCTTTAGGCATCCTGCATCTTGTAAACTTACCCTCACAAGCTTTTCTTACTGAATACACTGGAGGACGTGGCCCCCAAAACGGGAAGGCAGGAGGCACAGGAATACAGAAAACAAGAAATCGAAGCTGGAAGAGAGGCAGCAAGAATCCCAAGTGGATGGTGCAGAGTGGTTTCTAGGGTGGTACCTATGCCGCAGGAATGAAAGCAACCAGCCCCAAGAGCTGGAGGCGTCAAAGGTGCTTCTTCAGAAAGCAAGCTGGGAGAAAATCAGTGGAATGGAATCAACTGGCAACATGTTTTGGGTTAACTTAACATGCTCAAGGAAAATGAGAAAGTTTTAGGGAAATCTGAGTGGTCTAGGAATAGAAAATTGGAGTTTACTGTGTGGCTAAGAATTGTGTGTATGGCATCCTCATAGAGGGGACACCAGAGGGAGGAGGCAAATTTGTTTTATCCAAATTCATCCTAAGGAGAAATCTACAGATAAATGCAAAAGAGGAAGTAAGGAAAATCATAAAACATGTTTTCTCAGAGTTGGAGCTCAATATAGAAACAGTTAAAAGAAGTGCAAATATTTGCCTATAAGAAAGGATAATCTGAGTTGGGGTAGGTGGAGGGGTTTTTTCTTTCATTTTATAAATACCCTGTAGAATTGTTTGATCTTTAACATATGCATGTATAACTGATGCAGACTCTTGTTGAAAAGATGGACAGAGGAAAAAAAGGAATATTAATTGTGCCAGTCACAAAGAAGGGTTCAAAAATTGGCCTAAATGAACTACTTTACTCTTTCTGAAATACCTTTAATGATAAATCAGCAAACCAGTTTGAGCCACTTTGAAAAGAATTTCTTAATTAGATGACATTGTTAAACATACTCTATTAAAATTCTAAAATGTTGCTCTCAATCTAATCTACCTTTAGATTTCTACTTTTATAATTGTAAATTCTTTGTTTTAGAATATAGTATGGAAAATATATCCTTCAATAAATGATCAGTGTACCAGTGGGATATCTTATGTGAAAAAATATATACAATTCAGTAAAGGTGTCGGCGCTGCAGACCTCATTAATTCAGTTTTTTTTCCATATTCTATCTAGGCGAAGGTGAAGTTTACCTTTGAATGCCTAAGAAGAAATGAATATTGTAAGCATCATTATAAGGATATCTTGGTCTTTTGTTTAAAAGAAACTGTAGATTGAAGTGTATGTTATTTAACAGATTATTTGTAATTAGATACACTGACTTTATTCATGTCATAAGTGCTAAATGTCCTGTTCATAGCACATGCTTTTAAGCTGACAGAGAAGTAAGGAAATAAGCATAAAAATGGATGATTAAATGGAAAAAAAAAAACAGTACCTCTATTGAAGAGTTAGGCATACTGCACTAGCAGTTCAGGAGTGTGAGTACAGGACTCACTGGGGGATTTTACTGGCACTGAGTCTCAAAGATGAAAGAGAAGTAGGAAGATGGTTGGATGGAGGACATTCAAGGAAGAGCCGCTTGGCTAGTGGTAGAGACATGAGTGTTTTCAGAAGACCCAGAAATAGAGGAAAGCTGGAGAAAGAAATGCCTTATACTTTTGACAACAATTATTAATAGTAGCAAATTTTTCAAGTTAGCCCTATGTGCTAGGCACAGGGCCAAGCATTTCACTTGAAGAGTCTCATTTTAATCCTTAAAATTGTTCCACTGTTACCTACTTTTATGTTTTTCAAGCTCGAGAATATGAAAAAATTTATATGGAAAGTTCATTCTAACATATCTGAGAAAACGTTTCAGGCACATGAAAAATGAGACACTCGATAGCTTAGTTAGCTGCCTAAGATATTAATGTAACAAGGTGCAAGATTAAAAAGATCACATAGTCACTTGTTTTATTCTATTCGCCCCTTTGAACATTCAGTTTCAGAGTAAGAACAATGTGTATTTTTAAAGTAAGAAGGGCAAAGGGGAAGAAAAAGAACAGATTGATAAAGGGGGCAAAAGAGAAGAGAGCAACAGACAACCACTGAGATGCAAAGCTGATGGATGGATTGGAAGAGCAGAAAGTCTTACTGCAACAGTCCAAGCAAAGGCTAATGAGGCTTCCGTTCACAGAATTATAGATACAGTGGGAAATGGAAGAGTAAGAGAAATATTTAGAAAATAAATCGCAAGGATCCGAGCACCCAGTGGATGTGTGGGTGGTTTTACCCATTCCCCATGGCAGGCGGATGCGAGGCATGGTGAGGCTGATCAGATGAAATGCTTAGTAAACCCAGTTGTAGAGCAATGACGTTACAAGTGGTTGGTTAGTAGCACAACTGGCTAATGTTAGTCTATGCGTTGACCACATTTTTGTTAAAGAATAATGATCCCATATACTTGGTCTCCAAGTTGATCCAGAACCAGGAGTTCTGAATCTTCCATCCCGGGTGCACCACAACCAGAACAGTCAGGCTGCGCCTGGCAGGGGAGGTAAAAGCATGCGTGGAGAAACCCAACAGAGCTCCTTTGAGACCTTGGCTGGCCATGCAGCCCGCACGTCACGACCTCTCCCTGCCTGTAAGAGTTTGTGCATCAGAAAGTTGAACTCAGCTTCCCTCCGCCGCGAGCTCTCGCCCCGCCCGCCGGCGCGCTAACCCGCTCCTCTCTTCTTCCCCCCCAGGGCTGTACGAGACCTTCCTCACCAGTGACGACCCCGAGTGCTGTGACGTCAGGAGAGAGGAGCCGGCCCAGGGCCCGGCCAGGGCGGCGGCGGCGGCGGCGCAGGGCGGCGGCTCCTGCCCCGGGCCGTCGCTCGCGCCGTCCTCGGCCACGAGACTGTGCGGCGGCAGACTCAAGCTGTGCGTGCTGGTCCTGATGCTGCTGCACACCGTGCTCACGGCGTCGGCGGCACAGAGCGCGGCCGCCCTGAGCCTGCGGGGCCTCCCCGCGCTGGACGACAACTCCACCAACGAGGAGTGACCGCGCCGCGCCGCGCCGGACACCTCCACCCGCCGGCGCCCGGCCCGCGCCGCGCCGGACTCCTGCACCCACGGGCGCCCGGCCCGCGCGGGGCCCGGGCTGCTGCCCTCGCGTTGCTTCCTGCGGGGCCTGGAGGGCGCAGCTCGGAACACACCACGGGCCCGGACCCACACAGGGACGCAGCGGCGACCACGGCTTTTTACTGACTGAAAGGCTGTCCGTCCGGTGACTTTGAATTTCTCACGCCATTTTATACACTGTGTTTTAATGTTTGGAGGTTTTCTTTGCTTTCGGTTTGGGATTCTTTGTTTGTTCAGTTTTTGCACCTGTTGATCCCGGATTTATTTTGGGGGACGGTTTCTCAGCGGTGAACTGAGTCTTTTCACTGTCTTTCTATTTCTAGTCATCGTGTGTGTTCATCAGGTAGTTCTGTCTTTACGTCCTGTCAGTTTCTATTAGAGGAATGACTGCTATGACCTCATGGTATAGCAAAAAACAACAACAAAAAAATTAAAAAATTAAAAAGACAAAAAAAAGAAAACAACTAAAACATAAAAAAAAAAACCTCCCCGAGTCTCCCCCTGTCCCCACGGAACCACCGCCCCGTGCAGCCGGCCCTCCCTCCCCCTGCACCCTCTGGTCCCCCGAGCAGACTCCATCCGCTTGCTTCCGTGTGTGTAATCACCGCGAGTGGCTTGCACGCTCCCGAGCCTCCGAGCCACTCCGCACAAACCCAAATAGAGCGGCGCCAAGGGGGCCTGGCGCTGAACAAACAAGTGCTCTCCTATCGGGTGGAATCAGACAGCGAACACATTCTTATGCTGAAAACAAAACAACTATCATGGACCGTGTTGCTCAGATCCCAAGCGGTCCAGCCTTTTCTTGCTGGCCACTGGGACCTGAGCAGCCATCCAGCCAGGATGAGGGTCGTGGAGGGAGTCCTTGCCCGTGGAGAACTCAGTCCTGTGGCAGTGAGAGACGAGCGCATTCTGGCCATGGCGATGGGGACAAAGACATTGAGGACACAGTCAGGGTCTTCATTCCTCCTCTGTTGCTAGGAAGGGACAGTAGAAGTGCTCAACATCTTCAGCCTACCGAGTATGCACAATTGTACCCCAGTATTTCCTCCACCGCGTAGGGTTTAAAATTATCCCAGGTATAAAGTGTATGCAATTCTGCATTATCACAGAACAATTTCTGTTTTAAACAAGAACTAGGTCAGCCATTTTTACTAAAGTGCAAAAACTTCATCACTCGAACTTGCTCTAGGTAGCTGAGAAAAACAGAAGTCTGATCACTGTGTTTTTTTTCTTTGTGGGAACATTTCACCTGCTGAGTGTATATGAACTTGCTTTCTACAAAAGGCTTTTCTGAGTTTACAGTAGAATCAGTGGAAGGAAGAGTTAATAAGGGCTGTTTTTAAAAAAACAAACAAACAAAACTAATAAGTAAAAAAAAAAAACTTTACATTCCTTCCAATCCTCTAACTACACTTGGGAAGTGCACTTCCGATGAGTTTGTTGTGTGGCCACGAGATGAAGGAAATCCATAGAAGAGGTCCTCTTAACAAAATTTAGTTACTAACTTTATAGCTATGAAATTCCCCCAGGCATTTGTTTTTGTTTCAACAGACTTTAACCTCTGCATCATACTTAACCCTGCGACATGCGTACAGTATGCATATTTTGTTTTGAATAAAAAATGTTTTGTTCCAGTCTGTTAAGAATATTCAAAAAATAATAAAGGTATTGCTTAATAAAATTGCTAGAATTGTTTAGCAGTACATGCACAAATATTTTACTAGATTCTTTGTTTTAATAGTGTTTTGTTGAGACTGAAAATCCTAATGGTCTGCGCAAATACAAAAGAAAAACACCAAAATGCAAAATTCTCCAGTTTTTGTTCCTTTGTGTAAAGTTGTTCTTTCTGCAAGTGCAAACAACAGTCACCTGTGCACACACACACACACACACACGGGGTCCCTTTGTTGCTGTTTGGAATTGCAGTGCTTTCTTGGGGATGTGAATGAGCGAGCGAGCGAGCGAATGGGTACCAGCGGGATGCACTAACTGCACTGAATTCTTGGTTGTTAAGCAGTTGCAGAAATGAGCATTTTGACAGCCCAACTAGAGGTACAATACAGATTTCAATGGGGCTGAGGGCTGGTGGGTGACTCTTGGGAAAGGACTCACTGGATGAGTTCTTATTCGAAGAACCTCTGGAGTGAATGTCCAGGAAAGTTTTTTTTTTTTTTAAACACATTGTGCTCTGCTCTGGAAAGACCACTCTGCACTCCATGTTTTTAGTATTTCTCATACTTCATCTGTGCCAGGGGCATTTCCATCTTTGCAGGAAACTGACAAGGCATAGCATGCACCTTCCACCTACCTTTCATGGCATAAGAAGTTACTCTTTCTAAACACTGGGCAAGGTGATGCCTCACTTCACACACACAGTTTTCTCTTAACATCTTTTGAGACTGATATTGCAAGGAAATTCTTGATGTATATAAAGGGATGAGAGGTTTCCCTTTGCTCTCATTTTAGCTTTTGTTTAGAGAGAATAGCAGCCGAAGGACAGAAAACAGCAACTGCCATTGGTTTAGACAATGATAAACCCCCCAAAGACAGTTTCAAAAGTTAGATGAAATAAGGAAGCACTACTCATAATTATAAAACCACCATTTAGGTGAGGAAGCAACGGTAGAGGAGAAACGAGTCTTATCTTCAACAAGTTCACTAGCATTGGAATAGTGTGTAATTCCTGTAGAATTTTTCTTGTCCCGCTTTTATTCTTATTATAAGAGAATGATCTCAGTGCCTAGTTTCCTTATTGCAAGTGTATCACCACTCCGATATTTCCAGGGATCCTGGGGTGAGGAGGCTCCAAATAGGCAATGGCTGCTTTCCAAAGTTAAGAAAACACTTGCTGATGTTGCAAATTTCACCACACCAGTTGTTTATTTGTAGCAGTCTCCCCAGCACACATTTGAGCATGCTGGATGTTGTGCACCTGTTAATTCTGACAGAATAAATTCAAACTCTGCTCCTTTGTAAGCATCATCTTGTTCCATTTTTCTTATGGTGGCTCTACTGGAAATGGACTACAATATTAAAAATGCTACAAGCAAGTGGAAAACCAAGAAATATTTGTTTTGTAAAGGTATGGAACAGAAGTCCTTGGGTTTATTACTTTTTTTTTTTTTTGCAACAGAAAAAATTCTAGTTTGGGGAACATATTGGTACTACTAAACTAAGTGTCAAATAACAAGGTATAGTTAAATGTTACTCCCTGTTGCATTGACATTGGGTGTTACATATTAAGCTTTCTTTTTTAAAAAAGTATTATCCCCCTCATCCACAATGTCATAAATGAAAGTTATTTTTTTAAATAACATCCCTACAAAAATAATTTGATGTGTTACCAATGAATTGGTGCCTTTAAGAACTAAAACCTAGGGCTGCCATTGTGGTGGCATCTTATTTGTGTCCTGACTGCTCCACTTCCAATCCAGCTTCCTGCTAATGGCCTGGGAAAGCAGCAGCAGCAGATGATGGCCCCAGTGTTTGGGCCCCTGTCACCCTTGTTGGAGACCCAAATAAAGTTACTGGCTTTGGATTGACCCAGCCCTGGCTTTTATAGCCATTTGGGAAGTGAGCCAGCAAATGGACAATCCATCTCTTCCCCCTCTTTCTCTGTAACTCTTTCAAATAAACTTTTGACAAGCAGACTTAGTGTGAGAGAGAGACAGAGAGAAAGGTCTTCCTTCCATTGGTTAACCCCCCAATGGCCACTATAGCTGGCATGCTGCGCCACTCCGAAGCCAGGAGCCAGGTGCTTCTCCTGGTCTCCCATGGGGTGCAGGGCCATCCTCCACTGCCTTCCCAGGCCACAGCGGAGAGCTGGACTGGAAGAGGAGCAACCAGGACAGAACCGGCACCCCAACCGGGACTAGAACCCAGAGTACTGGCGCTGCAGGTGGAGGATTAGCCTAGTGAGCTGCAGCGCTGGCCTCAAACTTTAAAATGAAGTAGACCCTGTAGTTGAGCAAAGAGAGAAAGGAAGGAAAGGAGAGAGCAAGAGAGTGAGCAAGGGGGAGGGAGAGAGGGAGGCAAAGGGGTTTTATATGAATGAATAACAACATTTTTGCCAGGGGGAAAACTATAAATAAGAGATGTATTTAGATGCCAGACCCATGGGTCATATTTTGAATTAACAGATGGCATTTGATACCTGAACAACATGAAAATATTCATCAGCCTGAGATATAAAGTTTGGGTGTTCTTGCTCCTAGAAGCATTAAGTCAGCAAAGACATGAGCAGTGCATCTTGTTTTAACTGCAATTCAAGAAAGTATTTGGTTTCACATGTGTGTGTGAGCATAAAGAAAGTGAAAAGTTTATGTACTATGGCATATCTTTATGGAGAAATGAAGATCTATAATATATGTGGATTTTCAAAAAGCTTTTAAAAATGGAATTACAATGTTATATGGGTGCAAACATTTTGAAATCCATGCGTAGTTCTTTCTATGCAGTTCCATGAGCTTTCTGAAGACCCCTCATGTACATCACTTATAAAACACTAATCAAAATTATTCAGTCCAAAACATATACATTTTTTGAATGCCTTCTCCTTCTTGGCTATACCATGCCCATTTTAAAACCATACCTACTTTAGGGGCTGGTGCTGTGGCTTAGTGGGTTAACGCCCTGGCCTGGAGCACCGGTCCCATATGGGCGCCCATTTGAGACCTGGCTGCTCCACTTCCCATCCAGCTCTCTGCTATGGCCTGGGGGGCCAGTGGAGGATGGCCCAAGTCCTTGGGCCCCTACACCTTCCTGGGAGACCTGGAAGAAGCTCCTGGCTTTGATCGGGGAGTGAACCATTGGATGGAAGACCTCACTCTGCCTCTCTTCTGTGTAACTCTTTCAAATAAACAAATAAATCTTGAAGAAAAAAAAACATACCTACTTTGATATGGAAAACAGACTATCAGCATGCCTTACTAGTGAAGGAAATGATTTCAAATAACCTGAACCTTCTCTATCTCCCAAGTCTTAATGACTTAAAAAATTAAGACAGCATGTAGGTATCGGGCAATGACGACTCCCAGGACGGAAGTGGGAGGAAAACTCAAGAGTTTAAAGCAGTATCTCCATGACGTTGATAGGAACTATCAGACTCTGCTACAATTTCTAGAAATTACCCATAAAATAAGATATAATCTGCTTAGCCTTGGGATAAAACTTCGGGGAAGCAACAAAATGTGAACTTTGGTTGTAATTCTTGAGCTACTTCAGGGCCATGGCGTTTAGATCAATGTTGAAAAACATGAGTTGATGGGGCCAGTGCTGTGGCGTGATGGGTAAAGCTGCCGCCTGCAGTGCTGGCAACCCATATGGGCGCCAGTTCATGCCCCTGCTGCTCCACTTCTGATCCCAATTTCTGCTATGGCCTAGGAAAGCAGTGGAAGATGGCCCAAGTCTTTGAGCCCCTGCACCCCTGTGGGAGACCTGGAGAAGCTCCAGCCTTTGCAGTCAATTGGGGAGTGAACCAGCGGATGGAAGACCTGTCTCCCCCTGCCTCTCCTTCTGTGTAACTGACTTTCAAATAAATGAATAAATCTTTAAAAAAAATATATGAGCTGATAATTTTGTCCTGGGCTGCACAGGTGGGCAGTGCAAGGGTAAAACTCAAAGAGCATCTTGTCGCTCCCCCACTCGCGGAGGAACGACACTGGTCCTTCCCGGATTTGCTGCCGCTCCCCCACCTCCACGGAGGAGCGGCACCCCCGCTGCTCCCCCGGCTTTCTTGGAGGAGTGGCACCAACGAGCTCTCAGACGTACTCTCTCAGGGGCCTCGTATGTTGTCTCTCTCCCCCTTTTATAGTCCTCTCCCACCAAACCGTGCTCTGCTGCCCACGTGCTGAACACGCCGCTCTCTTCCAATCAGAGGTTGGATCAGGAATCAGCTAATTGACGAAGCAGCTGTGTAAGATTTGTTTACTCCCTCTCAGCCATATGATGGGAGATCAGACGCATAGAGTTAGTTTCAGTCCACAGTCTCAGTACTTATTTGTCTCCCAGGCACCCCGCCATGTTGCGGGAGACGGACCCTGCTCCCCCAACATCTGATTGCAAATGCCACCTGCTGGCTCTGGAGTATTATGGGAAGCTTGATACTTATTTGAGAATGAATCTATTTTCTCCAAAGTGTAAGACATTTATAAAAATCAATTGTTAAGCTAAAAAATTGATCTATTGAAAGCAGCATTGAACTCTTGCCCCCAGTGTGTTCTGTTTCACTGCTTTTGCTGCTCTGATATTTAGTGTCTGGAAAGTAAGGAACGGAGCCTATGAGAACACACTGACTATTCAGGGACCACCTAGGTAAGAGGTAGTGGTGTTATGGGTTCCTAAGATGTATGTATATCATATAAGTGAGGTCTCAGTAACAGTTATCAGGATGATTGATTCAGGAAGTGAAACTGTCTTCTGGCTTCTGTGGATAGTTCCTGGAAATATTTACCTCCTAATTACATATTTTTACTAACAGCACTCTAATCTAGCAAACAGACCACTGATGCATTTAACAGTTTGAAAGAAGTGTACATATTACAGAATTAAAGTGACTTCTAAGAACTTTAAATGTAAGCAGTTTTTGCTTCTTTAATTGTCCTCTCCTCTCCAAAAATGGTGCTAATAAGCAAAAGTTAAAGAAGTCTGTTGAAATTGGTTCCAAGTACAGGTGCAAATTAATTGAGAGTGGCAATGGAAATAATGTAGTCTCAAAGTGGTTGAGGTACTAGATCTTAAAAATATGAATCTTTGAGGCATCTGGATTCCTTAATGAAAAGAAACAGCTTAAATTATTTAGCATGAATGTATATCTAATCAGAATACCTCTCTTTAACACTGTAATTCCCATAGAATGAAATCACTGTAAGAGTAACATTAGCCGGCTGCAAAGTTTTTTGACTAAGTACATGAGTGTACTTCAAACACATCATGGAAAAATAGAATTAAAAATAAATGTAGGATTCCAAGATGACTAAACAGGGAAAAGACATGCTGACTCTGACCAGGGGAAGAGAGCAGAAGAAAAGTGGAGAAAAAAGTACATTCCCAAGGAGTGTTGGAGAGACATTTAAGGTGGAAATTCTACAGAAAGGAGGACACCGTGGAGCAGCATGGTAAGTGTGGACACCTGCATGACACCTGCAGCGGGGGACTGAAGAAGATGCCAGCTTCCGAGAGAGAGAGCAGACTGGCAGCCAGTGCCACTGGTGTTATTGCCTGAGGGTGGACCCTGTGGACCACAGATTTGAGCCTAGCCTGAAGCCCTAGCAGAGAGCAGGGTACCCACAAAATCCAGTAAAGGAAAAGCATGTGTCTTTCTACCCATCATCCCACAGGGGTGCCTCACAACCGACAGGGAAAAGGTGCCGTCTCGACACTAAGAGACTGCAGTGGCTCTCTTGTGAGCCCACGACCAGTGAATTTTACCAGAGGGAAAAATTTGTGTTACCCAGTGACTGAGTCTGTCTGGGAGGGTTGACAGGGGCCGGGCACCCACTTAGGACTGTGAGGTGCTCCCATCCTCTCAACCTATTATAGGCTCTAGGGCTCAAACTGCCAAAGTGGAGGACCCACAGGCAGCTGGCCCACAGACAGCTAGCTCTGGCTGTGTTTCTGCTCTCTCTGTGGGCAGGGCAGGATCCCAGAGCTACAGCCCATGACTGTGGGAGTCTTGTGTGCTGAGACTGTGGGATGTCTGTAGGATCTGGGGTATAGCTGGGTCTCGGGACAATCACTGTGTCTAGTGTCAGAGGCTCACAGCTTCCTGACTGCCTGGGGTGAGTATTGTAGAGAGCTCCATGCTCACAGTGAAGACCACACAGATCCCCTGTGCAGTCCATGTGCCAGCATGGGTCGGGGTTGAACCCACTGTGAGCTAACTCCAGGCATTAATCACCTTGGAAGTGAGGAGGTGAGGTTGTGATTATGCCAACAGGTGTAATAAAATCCTAGCCTGTGCCGAGAATAGAGGAGATCTAC